TTTCATAGGTTCTCATCAGCTGCTACACAGCCACAAAGCAATAAGTCTCATGAGATTGAAAACTTGCCTAGTGCACTGAAATCGCATGACTAACAGTGTAATCAAAATGCAATTACCAAGGGAGTGTGAAGTTGACTACACACTGTCTTTGTATACATAAGTTTGGTTTGAAACGTTTGATTTTAGTTGCTTCCGCAAATCATATTAAATTCACCGTCGTTTATATATTTAGTGTGTTGAAGGATTTGGAAATCTCAACGAAATGACCAGTTTTTGAAGAAAGTGTTTGCTAATTACACTTTGCGAATATCTGCTTCGCTTTAGGTATGAGTTTCTTGAGAAATCGGATAGAATCATTTCTTTCCCTCGGTTGGTGATGAAGTCTTCAGTGAAATCAATACAAATCCTCAGGAGATAACATTTGAAAATTAACGTTCTGTTCATTACTTACTGACTGACAACAGGATAGACTTCTTGGGGTTCGAATTAGCGGTCATGATTAGTGGGGTTAACCAGCTCGGTTGAGGGAACAGATAATCACCGACAGCACTAGATGCAAATGGCTCCTCATCAATCCAGCTGACAAGAGTTAGAGGTGATGGCCCACTGCATTTAGACCCAGTGACTTGTGGATTGTATGTTCAACTTCTGATGGAGTTATTTTGTACGTATTAGTGAAGAGTCCCAGTTAAGGACGAAACACCTGTCCAGCACTACCTGGTTTTTGTGTTTCAATAATTCTTGTTAGTTATTGACAAAATCTACTTTAATAAAGTAATAACTTCTTATTTTACGCCTTAAAAAAGAGATCGCAAAGTCTTTGGCATATGTACTCAGTAATACAGTTTGAAAGCTTTTGCTCAAAAAAAGTCAAATACACCGGAGTTATCTGTTCTACTTGTTGAGAAATCTCAACGTTTACAATACGCTATTGATAACATTCACATCACATGGTGTGTTGCAGTACCACACTATACAGCTTAGAGTGTATAATATGTGCAGTTTCCTTGGGAATGTTGAGGGGTTCGCGACTACTGTTCAGTGAGTTGACCGTTAGGGATTTCATTGATTTAAAGCTGTATTTCACCATGAAGTTTGTAAAACCAGAGGAAACCAGACTGCTGTTTCATCCTAGTTAAGGCGTTTTGAGTATTCGTCATCCACGAATCCATCAGAAGTCGAACCTAGTGATTTGAAGGTCACAAGAAGAGCTCATTAAGCATTCATTCACTAAGGTGAGATGCAATAGCACACGAATATGAACTTGTGCGAATTGCTGATATATAGCACTACCTCTAGCCAGTACAGATGGGGGCTATCTGTCCTCATATACATCTTGGCAGACTCCGCCGACCATAATTTCTCATCTGGAACTTTAGGATGCTAATTTTATAATCAGACACTTTCCAAGTGCTTTTTGTTGTGGGGAAAGTGACTGATTTCAGCAGAGATTTTGTTGTTAAACGCTTATCCTGGTGAAACTTTAATTTGGATTGAAATTTGAGGCTTTGAGACATTAAACTTCAACTTTAAGGGGAATCAGAACTCGGTATTTATAAAAAGCGTGAATTATAATGATGAAATCAGAAAACTCATCCGCGGATGGTTTGAAGAGGTTCGACTTTCTGAACTGATTCGAACCGGGTACAACTCTAATCTTTGCCTCAAATGAACGAAATAGCCATCCGAAGTTTAGATAACTTTGATTTATTTAGAAAGTACTACTATTTGATACGGTTTTTTATGTATCCAACTTCTCATATGAATCAATCATTAGTATGAAGCATTTTCCTATCTTTACTTTGAAAATTGGTGAGCACATAGATTTGATTTAATTTAATTATATGAAGGATGTCATCATGAGCTGACATCAGTTAGAGAACCATTGGAAAACCAATTGGGAGTATTGCCAGACCGCTGTTTCGTCAGTCTAGTTTGGGACTCTTCAGAAATATGCACCCACCACCAGGGTTCGAACCCACGACCATCTGGTTACAAGGCGAGCTAGCTCGTAGACCACTGAGCCACTGGGACCCGATCAAATGGCCAGTCCATGAATTCCAACTTCTCCCAATTCATGACATAGCGCGACTGGCACTAGCCAATGTCTTCAATGGCCCATGAATTCTAACTAGCGAATAGCCCTATTCAAGCAGTTACCTTGGATTCTACTGGAAAGTCGTCACCAGTGGGGTGCAGCAGGTCGGGTGTGAGGACAGTTGCTCATTGAAGACATTGCAAAGTGATAAGAGTCTTAAATTCTAGTATAACAGAGTGTATACAGAGGTTGATAACAGAAGTCGTATTCATCTAATCAACGTGCAATGATAATGACTCAGGGACTCTGTTGGATATTTAGAAAATCCGACTACCCCAGCTGCAAATGAGAAGAAAGATAGAAAACAGAAAAAATCTTCATTTTAGAAGTTATCTGGTTCACGGAATTTTCATACTGGAATAGGAATTATTAAAAAAAAGACGTTTGCAGAGAAGAAAATTTTCTTTTCGATGACGTCACCGTCAACTTGGCTGTAAATTTGTGTATTTATGATAAATGGATGGGAAAGTTCCGGAATAATTCCTGGCCAAGGGTCAAATTAATAAAATTACAATTAGGAATTAAAATGCCATAATAAACAGGGGGTACGGATAAAACTCAAACAAAGTAGCATCATAATTACTGAGAAGATTGACATATTGTGCAATTGGGGGTTAGAAATGTAGAAATAATAAAAATAGACAGGATGTTTGGATAAAAAATCTGGTGGGATCATAAGTAATGTAACGAATAATTGTTTATGCAGTTAGGGATTAAATATGTAGAAATAATAAAAAGACAAATTAGACAGGAAGTTCGGATTTGAAAATTTAGTAGTGTAAATAGGGATAAAGAAATGCTTAAAACAACATGAATAAACAGGAAGTTAGGATAAGAAAGGCGATGGGATAGTCACTATTAGAAGAATTACCTGTTTATGATGGCCATGGCAGGGACAAGGGTTGGATGTATTTCCTTGAGATAAATAGCGTGGGTTTGAGCTTTTGGATAGCTAATGCCTCGGCTATGCTCAAATGTCTTGATTTTACTCCCTTTGATAGGTCTGATTGAATCTTGAATATGACTTTGAAGGATGTTTTGAATGGCGCTGAATATCCTGAATTGACCAGATGTTCTGTCAGTGAACTGTATACACACTGTCTAGTTACAAATGGTATAACAGTATGAACAATATTTTATATTCGAAATGTTGTCATCCAGTAAATTATGTGGTTTTTTTTTATTTTATTATAGCTTGACTTCACACAGTGTTTTTGACACAAGTATGGAATTTTCAGCATGTAATATCTGTAGCCCAAATTTAGCAGGCCGACCATTGATATCAGGTGTGCGTCGGCAGGGGATCGAACCCCGGACCATTTGCATGGTCGGTTAGCATCCCAACCTCTGTGCCACCGACGCACAGTGTAATAGTACTTTCGGTAAACAGACTAAGCACTGATATATATGTATGCATTCGCCAAAATTTTCGTATACTGTAGCATGCTGGAGACCACTGTATCCGACAGCGGCAGTCAGTTCATATCGCAAATATTTCAACATTTTTGTTGAAGAAATGCTACATACAAAAGGTGCGGATGCCACCTTATGACCTTCGAAATCCTGTTAATATATGTGTAAAATTTGGGCACTGTGGCAGTAAGTAGTTTTTTTATTAGATATATCACACAGTCAGTGAAACAGTATTAGTATTCACTGGATGACACAGTTTCGAACACAATTTATTAGTGTTCATAATCATACCAATCAATTGTAATCACACGACTTCGAAACTTGAGGTTTATAGTCTTCTTTGTTCTCTCCTATTTGTCTTCGTTGGGGTAGTAGAATTTTCCAGATGTCTGACTGGACAGGTGTTGAATCATTCCTATTTCGCTTGTTTGCAGTTGATTCGATAGATAAATCTTCTGTTATCAATCTCTCCCTCTATTCACCCCTGTGACATCAGATTTTGAAACTATCATCTTCTTTCATCCCATCCTATTGTATGGTTTTGTGTAATTGCATGTGGTGTAGTGCTCTAGCTGAACTATTCTCCAGATTTCTTATCTTATTTGGGTCAACTAATCTAGATTTGCTGCTAGGTTTTTATGCTTGACTAGTCTGACTGACTGCACCTGTTCTACTACATTGACCTATGTATTTGACGTGATAATCATCACAGGCAGGGCATTAGATAAACTAAGTTGTTTTGTTTTAAAAGCTCCACAGACAGGACCTTTTAACCGACAAAGCTTGTTTCTAATTGAGTTTGTGGGTGGTTAGAATGCCAACCACTTTTATTCCTGCCTTGTTAAGTATTCTGCGTAAGTTTTCTGAGGTTCCTTCCTTGTATAGAGTTACTACTGATGGCTTAGATTCCTTATTTTTAGTGTTGTCTTGCGCATGTTTGACATGCATGTCGTCATTAATGTTAATGTTATTATTATTATTGGTTTTTGACTCTTAATTTATCTGTGTAATTAGTGTCTCAAGGCCATTCAAAACATATATATATACATATATATGTAAGCAGGCGCTGTCAATCATTTTCACTGTTGATACGAGACAGTCTGACCTGTTTTCTTGTCTTCTGTCCTCGCTTTTTGGTGTTATCGTCTCGTTTTGTTGACGTTGTTGTTGCTAGTAGTGGTTAGAACAGTAAGCTCACAAATCAGCTGGATTGGAAATTCGTCAGCGCAACTACAAGTGGATTAACAGTCATATCAACTGGTTAGCGTTTCTTGAAAGTTTAATTGGTGGATGGTGACTAGCAGTGGAACCCAGGATGCGCATTTCGTCCTATTTTGGACTCGTCGGCTGGATGTACCTGCATTTCCCAGTGAGTGATGATGTTCCGAGCACTTCGGTCCAATCAGTTGACGGAAAAATCTAAAATTCAATTAACAGTTTCTTGAAAGTGTTTTAGATTTATTTATTTTTTTGAAAATTTCATTTTCAGATGTCGTGACTGCTGTACCCTGTTGTCATATGGATGAAAACTTAGAACTGAAGGATAAAGAGTGTCCAACATCAGGAACTCCAGATTCATATTATATAGATGGATGTAAAGAACCATTCGGTGAGAAAGCTTTCCAAGTTATAGCAATGGTAGCGTATGCTTCAATTCTATTAATAGTGATCAATGTAAGTGTTACTTTGATTGTGTTGTTTTTGTACACACTTTAATATTGTGTTTATGCTGTTTAGTATCTATCTGTGTTGTCACTTCCAATGATATTGTGATTAAAATAAAAGACAAATTCAGCAAAGAAAATTTTCTTTATCGACGAAATCATCTTCCTTCAGAGGCTGTACAGTCGTATTTATACTTACCAAAAAATATATAGTGGTCTATTATTGAGTAATACAACTGTGCTAACATAATTGATATAATTACTCACAAGTGGCTTTAGAAGAGAAAATTTTAAAGTTGTAAATTACGTGGTACTCAACGGCACAAAGATAGAAATTTGATAAGGTTAAAATTGTTATTGAGTGAGAATAAAGGTGGTAACTGAGTGTCAGTTTAACAAATGTGAAGAGAACTGGGGAACTGGGGCGACTCAGACAAGTCCTCATTGAGAATGGATATCCTCCAAGATTTATCGAGAAAAACATGAAGCTAAGGGAAAAGCCTGAAAGAACCCAGACGGTGCCGAAGAAACTGCTATTTACCAGTGATTTATGGTGATACCGCAGCTGGGATCCTGAAGAATCGCTCATGCAGATCACTGAGGAAAGCCTTCTTTATGGCTGACCTACGAATCAATTTCTACAGCCGACAAATGATCAACGCATGTGTGAAGGATAAACTGCCGCTTTGAACGGGCCACCTCAATGTGTGTTTATAAATTCACCTGCTCGTGTGGAGTGAACACTTTCCAAACGCATCTCTGAAGATCATCCGGCATGGTTAGCAAAGGCACAATGCAAGACAATTACTAGCTCAATTCTCAAGCACTTGGTGAACTCAGGCCACGAAGCTCCACCAGATTCGTCTTTCAAGTTCATCTACAAAGTGAAGCCAAATGGTACAAAGGGCGTCAGGTTTCGGCTTTTGTGTATGGCGGAGGCGCTGGCGATTCGTCAATGCAACCCTGAACTCTGTATACAGAAAACGTTTGTCCAGTCTCTTATTCTACCTTGGTCTTAACCTTCTCACTAATCGTTCCTTGTAAATAAAAAAATTTTGGTTCTTTCTTTTCATATTAATTTTACTTTTAGTGTGCTTTTGCTTTAATAATTAATTCACTGTTATCACTCTCATATGCTCCTTTTGTATATTTTCACACCCTCTTCACACTTGATAAGTTGACACTCAGTTACCACCTTCATTCTCACTCAATAGCAATTTTAACCTTATCAAATTTCTATCTTTGTGCCATTGAGTACCACGTAATTTACAACTTTTAATTTTCACTTGTTAAGCCACTTCTGAGTAATTATATCAATTATGTCACCCACTCCCTATTACTCATTAATAGACCACTATATCTTTTTTTGTACAGCCTGTGAGGGTGATTTCGTCGATAAAGAAAATTTTCTTCATTACTCAATGGGTATTTTTCGGTGATATTGTGATTACCTTGAGTTACAAGTGGAAGAATAAGGCTTCAGCATTGCATTGCCGTTTCACGTTGTTCTCTGCAGTCTACTACAGCTGGCCACCTGATTAATTATGAGCTTTTTCCTTCCTCTGGTCTATGTCATAACACCTTGCTTCTTATTCAGGTTTCTTTCGAACGAGGTCTGTTTGGCGTGTGATGTCAGACGTTACTATCTGTAATATCACCGCCTATCTCAAGTTCTGTTTGAACACTTAATGTCCTACTGAGACACTATTCATACGATTCGATAGGCGCTTCACTCTCTTTATTACTTTTTCCTTTCTTTTTGCATGACCTTCTATATTATATCCAAGGCTAACTTCATTAAATATGCCGGTGATCTAACCGTTTCTGTCCCACTGGTTTCTGCTTTGGATTGTTCTTATATGAATAGCCTAAACTTTGTCTGAAGTAAACAAGTAGTCTCACCTAGATGGTCTTTAAAAATGAACCCATCTAAATATCATAATCATTATAACAAAGGTTTTTGTATTTCCAAATGAATGAAAAACAAAACGATATTGTTTTTACTGACGTTTCGCTATTTAATGCTGCTGCTAATACCTTTATCGAAGCATCAATAAACCGGAATTTACGAAATCTCAGCATATATTTAACAAGGGGTGAGAAAATAGACTTAGGTCATTTGTAAAAAATTATATCTGTAAAGTCTCAGCGAGATTGAAATGAGTAATTCCAACGTTTCGTTCGGCAATCTGGTCCGAACTTCTTCAGGGAAATTAATCGAAACGTTGGAATTACTCATTTCAATCTCGCTGAGACTTTACAAATATAATTTTTTACAAATGTCTACTTCTCACTCGGTGCCCAAATATTTTAGAACTATTCTGTCAAATCTTGACGACAGTTCATTTGAATTATTTTGCAATCGAATTAAATTAACAAAGAAACTGTGTAACTGGCACAATCATCGTGTTTTCACTCTCCCTTGTCTGCAACAGAATGCATATCCTAAATCCGTAGCTGTCGAATCACCTGACAACTCCAGTAGGTCGAATAAAGCAGCTCAATATTCAGAAAGAAGACAAAGCAATAAGTCCGACAGGGTGCTTCTACTAAACGCTAATCCTAAAAACCATTATTTTGAAAATATGTCTAACCATAAAATTCTAGATACTAACAGTGTGAACAGACATGAAGGTGTGATGTTAGCTGATGCATAGGAAATCCTTATTAATAAATAAAAAATGGATATGTATCACTAATTATTAATACTTGGTCAAAATTCTCGACTGTCCATATCTTCTTATGGAGACGTTAAGAAATGTTTTACAACTGTTTACCCACACACACATACACACTCTGTTTAAAGTGTTTAACAAATGTAGACCAATACTTGTAAGTCCGAGGTCAAATTTTGACCACAGCTCATAAAATTTGTTTATTATACTTGTTTTCTATAGTTTGGTTTGTAAGGATTAGTTATGTTTTACGAGTTGATCACGGACTGACATCAGTTAGAGAACCATTGAAAACCAGGGAGTACTGGACAGCTGCTGTTTCATCCTAGTTTTGGGAATCATCGGCAGTACGCCGATTGGACAAATTTTCAAAAACAAGTGATGCTCCTTTTTATATATAAACCTATGTTATGTTAATTTCGATTAATTTCCCTGAAGAAGTTCGGACCAGATTGCCGAACGAAACGTTGGAATTACTCATTTCAATCTCGCTGAGACTTTACAGATATAATTTTTTACAAATGTCTACTTCTCACTCGGCGCCCAAATATTTTAGAACTATTCTGTCAAATCTTGACGACAGTTCATCTGAAAGACTTAGGTCAAGTTAAAAGGATATATTGAAAGTTAAAATAACAATGAAGATCACTAAACCAAATAACAAAGGTAATAGTACATTTGTTATGGCATCAAAACAAAGTTTACTAACTTGATCACTGTTCGTTAGTCTGGGGTCATTTTTCGTTGTCAAGTTGGTCATTTGGTAAAGATAACAAAATCAAAATCAAGTGTAGATTGTTGGATTTGATACGTGTGTAAAATTATAAAGGCAGTGTGTGTTTACAATGTGAACTTGCATATCACATTCGTGTTGATTTTGTCACTTCATGGGGGAGGGAGGTGTTGTAACCAGGTCAGGTTCTGTTTTAGTCCATCATTCCTATTCAGGCAATTTTGATTCCACTTGATATGAAGTGCTTCTGATATTAGACGCTCTTTATGATTTCTGACCAAGTCTATTTTCTCACCAATTAACTCTTTGTTATATATATGCTGAGATTTTGTAAATTCCGGTTTAATAATCCTTTGATAAAGCTATTAGCAGCAGCATTAAATAGCGAAACGTCAGTAGACACAACAATATCGTTTTGTTTTTCATTCATTGGGAGCTACAAGAAAACCCTTTATAATAATGAATATCATATACCCAATGCCCAAATTTTTTCAAACTGTTAAAAGTGAACTTGGTTTGGACATATATATAAATATCATAGTGTTGATTTTAGTTTCAAGTACGAACAAGACTAACATGGAGTGATTTAGTCACAGGGTTCCTGTAATATTGACAGCGCTGTGATAAGTGGGAGTAAATCGAATATCTCTTATGTCAGCATCAGTTTCTCTTCGAATCTTTGTTGGTCATCGCATATCCTATTGATTTGCTGGAAACTAAAGAAGCTTAGACGTTCTGGAATAACTCTTCCCTCTTCCCTCACAATTCGTTAATTCTTGTATTCTGCCCATAATTCTTTGTGGTTCCCACTTGTTCTTCTTTGCGCACTTCATATTACTTAGAGCACTGAAGGCTGTAAATAGGGTTAGTGGTGTGTGTGTGTGCCTTTGACTTAGCTAACTGACACTACTGTCAACAGGCATTTCAATTCCTGCAAGCATTCGGTTAAAGTTATCTTGTCTGATACGGAACATCCTTCTTATTCTCACCTTTCTCCTTGTATCTACTCGGGGTGGGGGGTGGTGTGTGTGAAAGCAGAAGAAACTTCATAAGAAGCATTTATGCTCGTATAGCTACTAAATATAAAAATTCTACCATACCATCATATTTAGCACGAGTGTCGGTTGTGTGAAGAGAGAGAGTCAGATGTCAGAAAAGAACTTATAAGCCTTTTAAATCATTAGTCTGAACTGCAAAGTATAAGCAGAGATTAATATTATTACATGTATCCTCTGTGATACCATCTACTTAGACTTCATTATGTTTCCAACAACATTCTGTTTATATTGGTTGCATTATTCGAGTGTTGGTTTGTAGAGATTTGATTGGTTACAGGATTTCATCATGAGTCGTGACCAGTAGGGTGTAGCAGGTCGGGTGTGAGGACAAATATTCGCCAAGGAAGACAATGGCTAGGGGTCGCGCTATGTCGTGAATCGGCAGAAGTTAGTATTCATGGGCCATTGGATCGGGTCTCAGTGGCTTAATGGTATACGAGCTCGCCTTGTCAGCAGAAGGTCCTGGGTTCGAACCCTGGGTGTGGGTGCGTACTGTGAAGAGTCCCAAACTAGGACGAAACAGCTTGCATTATTATTATTACTATTTTAAATTTTATATATACAGATGTTTATAAAAGGAGCTAAATTGTTGCAATATGTATTAAAATGCTGAAATTTCCATCCTGTATAATTACTATTATTATTTGGAATGAAGTGATTATTAATAATAATAATAATAATTTGCTTTATTTCAAAACAGTACTAGTGATACAGAATGGAATTCTCAGCATTTTTACTACAGTATTGCATCCAGTTAGTACATTATCAATAAATAAAATTCTACATAGACTAAGGAAATCTCAGTTCATTATTACAACAATACATTGGCATGTCAGTAGCAAAGGTAAAGCTGAAACAGTGTTTGAAGGTATTAGAAAAGTGGGAGCTGTCTTATTAACTGGCGTAAGCGAGAGAAAGAGACAAAGCAGCACATAACGGAAAAAGAAGAGAGAGAAAAGGAAAAGAAAGAAAGAAAATGTTGTACATATTGATGATGTGGGTTGGAAAGACGAGATCCAGTTGTACTACTGACTATTTAAAGAATTATAGGTGTCACGCCTAATGCTTTCTTTATCACACAGAACACGGGCTAAGTAGGGTATGGTTGAGTTTTTGTACTTGCTGGTGCGAGCATATAGTTTACTATTATTACTATTATTAGAATTATTATTACTATTATTAGAATGTAAACTAAATCGTTAAATCGCTGAGTGATACTGGGTTGTTGCATCCCTCTGACTGGACTAGAATGCACCTCCAGACACGGAACTATGACCACCCACTTCATCACTTGACAAAAATATTGCCTACACTGAGTTGAAAACAAAAATCACATTCAACTGAGATGATAACGACAAAATATTTTATTAGACAAAATACATGGTATATCGTGTTTACAAACTCTTAGAAATATAAGCCATAAATAAACCAATAAGAAAACTTATAGAAAATTAAAACAAGTGGTGATTCAGCGAAGAGACTCTCTCCAACAACGAATTTATCATCAAGCTGTACAATCGTATATATATGGTGTAATTAAGAAGTTATATCCGGTGAGGGAATTGAATCATAGGAGTGAATGCATAAAATAATAATAATACTGGTATGAAATGCAATTCATGGGTGATATACCAAGCGAGTTAATTACGAAGAAATTAAGAAAATCAGTTCAAAGAACTTATAATACTGGCAAACTACATGTATTATTCTCTACACGACCGATGGTGCTACCTTGACTGAAAGATGAAGTACCTAGACTAGCCACTTCAAATTGTATTTATCAATTCCACTGCGCTTGTGAAGCGAGTTATATCGGTCGTTGCTCTAGGAACTAGATTTTTCGTGCTCGAGAGCATATCCCACTATGGCTAAGTAAAGGTGTAGTTAAAACTATTAACAGCTCGATATTAGACCATCTGGTGCAAACCGGTCACAAAGCCAGCGTAGAAGAATCCTTCTCTATGATATACCGGGTGTCTAACAAACTACTGAAATTGTCGAAGCACCGCATGCTCCAAACAGCAGAGGCTATTGCAATTCACCTCAAACAACCAGTGCTCTGTGTCCAAAAGAAACAAGTCCAGCCAGCCACTACGACTGCCCTGGCCGGCATTCAGTAGAGACTATAAACTCATGAATTTGTACTATTATCTTTCATAATTCTCCTGACATTGAGTTTATTTTATGTTGATGCTGTTCAGCTGTAATTTATCAATATTATTGATTTGATGTCATTTAAACAACATTAATGTCGTTCATAAGACTAATTCATTCATTCATTATAATGTATATATAATTGTAGAACCTGATGATGAATTTATCGAAAAGAGTACTCTTTGTTCCGTGTCCATTCTTCTAAAACTAAAATGTTTGTGATTATAATCGTAGTTAAATGTAAAGTGACTAAACAAATTAATGTCATATATAGAATGATTCATAGGATAGATAGAACTTGAAAAAGCGTGTGCAATTATAAGATTAGTAGACAAATCGAATAAAATTAAAATGAGCTCGCCTTGTAACCAGAAAGTCCTGAGTTCGAATCTCGGTGGGTGCGTACTGATGAAGAGTCCCAAACTAGGACGAAACAGCTGTCCAGTACTCTCAGGTTTTCCAGTGGTTCTCTAACTGATGTCATCTCATGATGAATTCCTCCATGCAATAAAATAAAAAATGTTACGTAATATTGTGTGAAGTTTAATAGCACAGAATTTAATGTCGTAAAAGGGAATTGATTTAGAATGACAAGTGGAACAAGTGAAATAATACCGGGGACAGTGCAAAGTGAGAGTAGTAATAGTAACAGTTGACGTAATAAGGAAGAGTATACAAATGACATTAATTTGCTTTGCCACTTGACATTTAACTACGATTATAATCACAAACATTTTAGTTTTAATTGCATATCATATTATTATTATTTTATGCATTCACACCTATGATTCATTTCCCTCACCGGATATAACTTCTTAATAAAACCATATATATATATATATATATATATATATATATATATATACGATTGTACAGCTTGATGATAAATTCGTTGTTGGAGAGAGTCTCTTCGCTGAATCACTTATTTTGATTTTCTATATGTTGCAATGGGAATTTTCCATGATTTAAAAAATAAGAAAACTGTCAAATCAGTTCATCATGTTAGTGCATGCCTGAATCATGACTTCAAGGCTAACAAAAAAGCTTGGCTGTCGCAACACACTCATTCCTGTTTTTATTAAAATTTTTCAACAAATCTTTTCATAGGCTGGAGGATTTCATCATGAGCTGACCGACATCAGTTAGAGAACCACTGGAAAACCTGCAGGGAGTACTGGACAGCCAGCTGTTTCATCAGTCAGTCTAGTTTGTGACTCTTCATCAGTACGCACCCACCCACCTAAACTAGGACGAAACAGCTGACTGTCCAGTACTTCCAGCTAGTTTTCCAGTGGTTCTCTAAGTGATGTCAGTCAGCTCATGCTGAAATCCTCCAACAATGTGCAGATGCTTTATGTTCTGCACTAACTAATATCAGAAATGCTTCTTTCTCCAAAAACGTCGTACCTGTTGCACGGAAAGACATTAAAATAGTCCCTGTCCCTAAACCTGGAAATAACAAGAACGTAAAGTTCAGACCCATTGCCATCACTTCCCCGTTTCTAAAGCTTATGGAAACCCTCCCTTAAAAGCTTTGAAGACCCCAAACAATTTACCTATATACACGGTAGGGGCACTTTAGACGCTGCAGCCATCTTACACAACAGCATCGTCTCATCATTAGATAAAGGTGCCAAATACGTCCGCTGCACGTTTCTCGACTTCACTTCTGCTTTCGACTCTGTACCTAGATGTCTCTTGCTAAATAAGCTCTCTATGACACAAATTGAGTCCTGGATCGCTAACTGGCTGCATTCTTACTTCTCTAACAGAAAGCAGTACACCGTATACAAAGGTAAATCATCCTCTGCTGTACTCACTGAAGCCGGTGTCCCCCAAGGTGCTGTGCTCTCCCCACTTCTCTTTTCTTTCTTTCTACATGAATTACCATCTTCAAATGACATTAATTTTGTCAAATATGCTGACGACCTGACTGTAGCTTTGCCTGTCAAATGTCAAAGTGACTGCTCTAAACTAAATGGCTTTCTGTCAGAAATCAGCCAGTGGTCCAAGGAAAACGGTCTTACCTTAAACCCCTCCAAATGCCAAACAGTCAATTTCACCTCTAGGCATAAATCCGATCTAAACAAACTGGTTGACTCTCACGAGGTATGCAACATAGATGGCACTGAAATAGAAACCAAGTCGGAAATTAAATACCTAGGCGTCATTCTATCTGTTGATCTTTCCTGGTCATCTCATATCTTGACGGTTTCTAAGAAAATATTCCGTCTTACTTTCTACAACAAAAAGTTAAGAATTTCTGGTACAACTCAACCCTTACTCCTACAATTCGTTAACTCTCGCATTCTGCCTATTATTCTCTATTGTTCCCCCTTAGTTTTTCCCGGGCTACTGAAGAAAGACTATAACATATTACGCAGGATGTTAAAGGTTGTCAGCAGGGTAAGCAACGTGCCACTTAACCAGCTTGTTAATATTCTGGTTGACAGGCACTTGGACTCATGTGAAAAATGGGCCAAATCCATTCTGTCTAACTCACACCACCCTCTTCACTCACAACTCTCCCCTTGCATCTCATCAGGCGAAACCAGAAGCCTATATAGAAAACTATATGCTCGCACCAGCAAGTACAAAAACTCAACCATACCCTACTTAGCTCGTGTTCTGTGCGATAAAGAAAGCATTAGGCGTGACACCTATAATTCATTAAGTAGTCAGTAGAACAACTGGACCTCGTCTTTCCAACTCATATCATTTATAGGTACAACATTTTCTTTCTTTCTTTTCCTTTTCTCTCTCTCTCTTCTCTTTCCGTTATGTGCTGCTTTGTTTCTTTCTCTCGCTTACGCCAGTAAATATGACAGCTCCTACTTTTCTAACACCTTCAAACACTCTGTTCAACTTTGGCTTTGCTACCGACATGCCAATATGTTGTTGTCATAATGAACTGAGACTACCCATAATCTATGTAGAATTTTATTTATTGATAATGTACTAACTGGATGCAATACTGTAGTAAAAATGCTGAGAATTCCATTCTGTATCACAAGTACTGTTTTGGAATAAAGCAAATTATTATTGTTATTCAAATCAATCAATCAATCAATCAAAATCCCTAAAAATCAATACTTGAAAATTATTTTCATACTTCGAAATGATATTACTTTTTTACTATTTTGACTCTATTGATTTGTTTCTTTATATTTCAGTGTGCACTTGTCGTCTGTGTCGTTCTTATTCTCCGAGAGTTATGGGTACATCTTTAAACCTCTATACATATATAAATACCAACCCTATTTGAATAATAATAATAATTACAAAATTCACTGGATTTTTTTAAGATGCTAAAATCTAATTATTTATCAAATTATTATTTACTAAGTAAATAAAAGTTTTTTTTAGAAGAAATGTATCATTTTTGTGTTGAATCATTTTTCAAAGTGTCGGAAAATGTAGGTGATAGGTGTCAGAGGGTAAGTGTGTGTGTGTGTGGAGGGGACGTGGCTTTTCATCAACTCTTTTGTATTGGATTAGATTTCATCCCTGGACGACATCAATCAGGCATAAAACCGAATACCAAAGCGTGTTACTTGATAGCGGTTTCGTCATAATTTAAGTTTCCCAGTATCACTTTCCAGCTCATTAGTGGTAATAGGCTGGATGTCGGGAAGTCCTAATCAGAGTGAGGAAGCGCATTTGTGGCATTAATTAGCGTTAGGGCTAAATCACGTGGACTGATAGGAGTTTGGATGCACAGGTCGAAGTCAGTTAGCAGCTGAATGGTGAGGAGGATGACCTCGTAATTTGAAGACCCTAAGTTTAATCCTTGGTGGGATCATGCACGCTTATTGACGAAGGGATTCAAGTGATTTCCATTGTGGGTAAAATTTGGTTTGATAAAGTTTCACAGTGGTGTTATACAGTAATATTTATTGATGACAAAGTGTCGAGCACAACTTATTGCTCACAATCGTATCAAGGCAGTACTCACACAGCTTTCTAACTTCGCTTATATAGTTCCATCATTTTCCATCGCTTGATTTGACGATCGGTAGTATTGTTTTCCATATTTCCGGTATGAGTGATGAATCATTCCCATTGCACGTGTTGTGTTGGGTGTAGACTCGATGAGCAAGGATTCAGTAATCAACCACCTCTCTCTCTCTCCACCTACCTAGATTATTTAGAATTCTAACCCTCTTCCACACACACCCTATTGTGTGGTTGTGTGTTAATGAATGCAGTGCAATGAAGTGCTGAGTTTTTTTCTAAATTACTTATCTTCTCATGGTCAACCATTCTTGCCTTAGTTAAATTCTTATGTCCTGACAATCTGACATCAAAATCTTAGACAAAATCTTAAACACCAAAAGTGCAGTCAGAGAATTCCTACAAGCCTGGTACTCAAACGAAAATGTAATTAACAAACACGTTAATATAGAGGATATATACCAACTAATAAAAAGTAAATCACCACGTGACCAGAAAGTTTAAAATCCAAGTCAATAAAAAATGGTCAATACATATGTTGTAAAGATGGTTACTGGGAGACGCAATTATATCACTCATGAAGAAATTTAAATCATTTCACTTTATGCTCAATATTGCGCTGAAGGGAGGTGTTGTCCAGCAGGGGGATGACGAAAGCTCCGCAACCAAACCAACCAGCTCCTCAGAGAACACTATTAATTGCAAATAGTCTACTAGTTTCGTAATTTCATCCACCTCTATTATCTCACATTAAATTGTATTCCATTCATTAGAGCACATACTAAGGATTCGTTCGAGTATTCGAAAACCAATCATTGTAAATTACTTCATTCAGTTTATTTAACCTTGATACATTTAAAAAAATCAAGAAAAACAAATTGGGCGAGATCATAACGACATATCTCACTCACTCAGGTTGGACAAGTTCTGTAGGTTAAAGGGACCATATTGACCCAATTGAACAAAATAATGTAATTTACAACACACCTTGCAATGAATGTGAGTGAGTTCAACTACATAGGTCAAACTGGTAGATAAGGAGTTATCACATTGTCAGAACATAATAATTTAGCTAAGTGTATGGAGGATTTCATCATGAGCTGACATCAGTTAGAGAACCACTGGAAAACCAGCTGGGAGTACTGGACAGCTGTTTCGTCCTAGTTTGGGACTCTTCACAGTACGCACCCACCGGGATTCGAACCCAGGACCTTCTGGTTACAAGGCGAGCTCGTAGACCATTGAGCCACTGGGACCCGATCCAATGGTCCTTGAATTCTAACTTCTGCCAATTCACGACATAGCGCGACCATTTCGCAATGTCTTCTTAGATGAGTTACTGTCACATCTTCAACCTGCTGTACCCTACTGGTCACGGCTTTCCACTAGAACCCCAGGTTAACTGCCTGAATAGGGCCAGTCACTAGTGAGCATCAGATTAATTTTCAAGTATTGGTTTGGTAGGGATTTTGTTTAATTGTATGGAGGCGAGCTCGTAGACCATTGAGCCACTGGGACCCATCTAACTCATCTAAGAAGACATTGCGAAATGGTCGCGCTATGTCGTGAATTGGCAGAAGTTAGAATTCAAGGATCATTGGATCGGGTCCCAGTGGCTCAATGGTCTACGAGCTCGCCTTGTAACCAGAAGGTCCTGGGTTCGAACCCCGGTGGGTGCGTACTGATGAAGAGTCCCAAACTAGGACGAAACAGCTGTCCAGTACTCCCAGGTTTTCCAGTGGCTCATGATGAAATCCGCCATACAATTAAACAAAATCCCTACCAAACCAATACTTGAAAATTTAGCTAAGGTTAGAATGATTGACCTCGCCCATGAAGATAAGTGATTTAGAAAAAAGCCCAGCAATCGCGCTGCATGCATTAACACATAATCACACAATGGTCTATGTGGGACAGAGTCCAAATTCTAAAAAGTAGCATAGATAGGTAGGTGGAGAAAGACACGGGTTGATGACTGAATCCGGGTTCACTGAGCCTACACCCAGCACATGAGCAACGGAAATGACTCAACGCAAATACCAGAGACATGGAAGATATTATTACCACCAGTCAAATCAGAGCAGGAGAATAAATAATCTTAAAATGTATTCAATTCAATTCACATTATAACATTCTAACAAGTTATTTATTCATTTTACTATGAAAAGATTCCTTTTTCTTGTCTGACTGTATTTGATTGATAACACTAATATCATTATTATTTCCGAATGTACTTTCTCATCTTATATTGATTGCTATTCAAAT